TTGTTGTTGTTGTTGTTGTTGTTGTTATTGTTGTTGTCTTGTGTAAATGAGACTTTAGATATTATTATTTTTTGTTAGGCTCTTACATACTAATGTTCAGACATTGTGCCATCCCCGATATCAATGCTTTTGGGTTGTTGTTGTTGTTGTTGTTGTTGTTGTTGTTGTTGTTGTTGTTGTTGTTGTTGTTGTTGTTGTTGTTAAATACATGGACAAATTGAACGTCCTCTGGTTAATCCTGATTCTCTTTTCCCTACCTTTCGCTTTCTTTTAACTTTCAACTTTGTCAGAGATTATGAAAACACGTGATCTCTGTTGACCAAATGCCATCTGGATGACTATATTTGTCTTGGGTTCCTTAAAAATAAAAAAGCAAAATCCTTTTTCTGTTGCACACAATATATCCCCCTCTGTCTGTCTGCCAGTCTCTGTCTGTCTCTCTGTCTGTCTCTCTGTTCCCCTCTTTCTCCATATATATCTCTCTCTCCCTCTCCCCCCTCTCTCTCTCCCTATCTCTCTCTCCCTATCTCTCTCTCCCTATCTCTCTCTCCCTCTCTCTCTCCCTATCTCTCTCTCCCTCTCCCCCCTCTCTCTCCCTATCTCTCTCTCTCTCGCTCCCTCTCTCTCTCTCTCTCTCTCTCTATCTCTCTCTGATTCTGTATCTCTATGTCTGCCTCTTAGTCTTTTACCCCACGCCCTTCTTCCTTCTTCTTTCTGAAAAAGAGTGAAAATCACCTCAGCTAAAGCCACGTTCATGTCACAGTTTTCAATCATCCTACAGCATTCTTGCCTTTCCTCGCAAAATATATAATCTTTATCATTTATAAATAAGCATATTGAATTTTGATTGATAATCATTTATAAATGTACATGATGACTAACAATTCGTGTTCATAATGACTATAATATTCTCCTGATGTTTGGAACAGGCGTCTTTTGGGACATATGTGCAGACTCAAAGTGCAATACACACGTGCCTTATTTGTGCATTTTTGACCAGCAGTTATTCAATGTGTTTTCTGATATTTATGAAATAGTAATATTCAATACATATCTATCTATCTATCTATCTATCTATCTATCTATCTATCTATCTATCTATCTAT